TTCTCCTCATGTTGAACATAACGTAAGTTTTTTCAACAACGAGGGAAGCCACTCATTGCTTGAGTTCTTCATTAAGTTGGTTAATCTCGGCAGAAAGATTTTTCCGGGTGGATCTAATGGACTTGAGGCTAACGTTGAGTATGCAGATAGTAGAGCTGAAAATTCTATTATGCTCAATGATTTTCTTATACTTCTCCTCCAATTGGGGATATTTCACCCCCGCAGTAGCAATCTCTTCAGTTTTTCTTGCTTGCTTTGCTACAAACGAGTCTATAACACAATGGCCTCATCAATTTTGGCTTCCAATTCTGAGAGGCGAGCAGCAGGTTGGTCCCGCTCGGCCAAAAGTTGATCATGTTCGGAGGTAAGTTCTTTTTTGTCCCGAATCAACCTCTGGAGGCCCTTGGAAGAAAGGAAATTGGCCTATAAAACAAGAAAGGTGAACTCAGGATATTTATTTAATCAAAGATAGGAGACATGGCAAAAGAAATAAAGAATGTGCCGATGTGGCGTTGTGCATGGCATTGTTCAACAAGCACTCTCCCAAGAGAGCCTGTATCTTTTCCCAATCTTTTTATGAAGTGAAAGGCTTCAGATACTTTGCAAGTTTCACCGGCCGGGACATCAAATTGCATCCGATGGAGACCGAGAGAGTAACGCTCCTCCTCCTTTGCAGATCTTCTGAGGGGGCAGCATAATTTTTCCCCAAATTCCCATGAACTGGACTGGGGGGGATGAATCTCCTCTACTCGGGCAGATGCAGCCGGTGAAGATAATTTAGTAGTTGCTGGTGGAAGAGTTGGTGAAGAAAGAAATGAAGCTGATGGTGTTGAAGGGTGAAAAGCAGCTGCGTCAAATGCAGTGCTGGTTATTAGTTGCTCGTCAACCGAAGATGACAGAGACCCGGTACTCAGCCCCACAATACCGGGCGCAACGACTAGGATTCAAAAACGGGAGTTGGCATTTTCCACCATTTCATACTCCCCCTGAGCGCCGAGGCATCGTCCTCGGTTAGTGTAACTAACTCAATAGATTGAGCAATCTGTTAAGTTAAGGAAGGTCGTCGTCTTCTATGTAGAGAAGCTCCTTCCTCGCTAGCTTCTCCATCATCGTCAATAATCACAGTATCTATGGTCGGCTTGTGCGGAGGGCTCGTCACCACGACTTCCGGAGACGACTCAGTGGCAGCATTCTTTGCCCTCTTATTCTTTTCCCCTGGTCGCGGAGGAACGCCTTTTTCTGGTTGTTTGTTCTCTGGCCGGGGACTCCGAGAAAAAACACTTGCACCAGAAGCAGGCCCGGAGATGCCTGTCTATGAAAAAGCTCTCTGCAGCAGCCTCGCCGCATCAACAAGATCAGCCAAACATCATCCTCGGGGACGATAACCGAGCCCTAGGGTAGACCTATATTCAGCAGGAGAGAAGAATCTGACAACTTTCTCATAAGAAAGGATAAGGACAAGATAAATTCAACTTACCATGATTTTTGGACTTCCATCCATATTTCAGGGATAGTTCTTTCCACGTGCGGGTTTCGGGCATAGCGACGTTTAAACTTTTTTGAACCTTTTTGTCCAAGACCTCAACCCTATGGGTAACCCACCGAGTCATTGAGACAGGTAAAAGGAGAAAATTTAATAATGGCGAGGAATGGTCTTTAACAAGAATAAAAGCAAACTGTATACTTACGAGTGCAATTCCACAATTCCGGGAAGGAAAGAGCCGAGGCCGAGATGATGTCACTAGTGGAAATTGAAACAAACCGTTCCATCCACCCAAGATCGTTATCATCATCCATGCTGGATAGCAATGCATAGTGGCCCCTGTTACAACTCATGTTTTCGTACGAACGAGTACGTCGTAAGTCAATTGATGTAAGCTCAGAAATGAAATTATATTTTAAAAGTATATAAAATAAGATAATCATGTTACCTCTGAGGTTACAAATATTTAAGATCATGAACAACAAGTACAAAGAGGGTTGGACGGTTCAGAAGCTAAAGCAATTGAAGAAAACAATGTTTCGTCAAAAGTCGACAAGTTGGGAATGTTATAACATGTATCTTTGGGGTGAGACTAGGGTGCTTAACATGATAAGGAGATTATGTTATGATTTGTATTAGTCGTATGACATCCGTATGTTATGTTTTAAAGTCAAGCGAGTTGTGGAATAAAAGTCGATGAAAGTCATCACAAGTTACATTCGTAAGTTTTACTGAAACTTTGGGTCAAATATAACTGCATGTTTCTCCCAATATACTTAGAGTTACGGGGTGTTCTACCCATCAAATTAAAGATATATGAGTCTATTTTCCAATGCATTGAACCGTTTGTCAATACGACATCGGAGTAGAGAGATATGATCATTGTTGCGATACTGCGCAAGCTGCTAGGTGACAAGTAGGTGTGTCACCTACTTGCTTAAATGAAAGCCCAAAAATGGGCCATTTCGGGTCGTCCAAAGAGGCCTTTTAAAGGCCTATTTTCTTCATATATTAGACTTAAAATAGAGCATAATAA